GGGCTCAATCGTGACTGTCAGACAATTTCTACGATCACATCACCCCTTACATCTGGCAATCTAACTCCACAGACTGCAACCCCCTTGATTATAATTTGGGGGCGCAGTTAAGAGAGAGGCCAACAAATCTCCTTGTAACACCAAAGATGAACTGAAGGCAAGTATTATGGCAGTATTCACCAACTTAAGCAAGGAGACCGTCCAGAAGAGTTGCAGGAGATTATGACGTTGTCTGGAGGCCGTGGTTGAAGCCAATTGCGATTTTATTAGATAAATTTACTCCTTAGTATTTCATGATATTTTTGTGTAATTTTGGCAAATATATCAGTCAAAATGAGATGTCATTGTTATTTTCATTTTTGTGTAATTTAGGAACGAATTCACAAGTCGGCGTGACCGAGGATTTGACTGTGCTGTCCTTGTTCAAAAACAATGATCACGCTAGAGTATGCGCTCTCTCCCAGAAACTGTAACTTAGGTCCGCTCAGCATACTTACTATATAAATCACAGGTGGACCCTGGGGCTTGAGCAATGTCTGTAAGAGGGATTTGCTAGCCACCTTGGCAGACGTCGAGGCTCGGAAACGAGTACCCAGCCATTATGTAATAAATAGACCGACATGTTCAAAGACTTATCTGCTGACTCCGATTCTCGCAGAGAAAACCCAGCTCTTCAGAAATAAAATAAATCATTTAAAATTATAAACAGATATCACGTATCAGATGATTAGATACGTTACATGAAATTTCAACAATTTTGAATGTGTTCTATCTTAAGGAGGATATTACCTAATATAATCTTAAGGAGGATATTACCTAATATCATCTTAAGGATGATATTACCTAATATAATCTTAAGGATGATATTACATAATATGATCTTAAGGATGGTATTACCTAATATAATCTTAAGGATATTACCTAATATAATTTTAAGGATGATATTACCTAATATCATCTTATGGATGATATTACCTAATCTCAACTTAAGGATCATATTAGCTAATATAATCTGATCTGAAATTTGTTCGATATTAAAGACTTTATTACGTAACTTAACATGATCTGTTGTTTTTTCATTCAGTCTTCTAGGAAGTAATCTCAAATTTCTTGACTTTCGGTGGAGCACTCTTTTCTTCAGTTCCCACCACAATGTTTCAATTATACTGAAATCAGGACTTAGTGTTGGCCAGTCTTCCAAAAGTTAAACATTTGCATCCACAAGAAACAATTTTGTTCCCCGTGATGTGTGACAAGAAGTACTATAATGTTGAAAAATATCTCCATCTTCGTAGCCTGACAGAATATTAGACAGTAGTAACCTAATATAGTTTTCACTGTTTAGGTTTCCATCAACTTTTACAATTTTTTTTTCTACCATTACATGTCCACCACAAAAAATTACCGTCTTTATGGTGCATTGTCCATTGTTTCCCCCCCCCCTTCCCTGTCTTGTTACGTAACCTCTTGTATTAGAATGTAAATCCTTTTTGCATTCAACCCTAAAAAATACTTTTTGTTACTTTCCAGCATCCCATGTTAGATGTTCATTTGAACGCTTCATTCTTCTATTCCGATGGTCTTTGTTCAATGATGGTTTCGGGTACCCCACTTAACTTCGTGAAAACGTCCATTAGGTGGCGCTGTTTAAGTTCTGTAAAAAAGGCAGACATATCCTCTCTCTCTCTGTCTTTGTCTTTCTCCAAGATGTAGCAGTAGTAGTTGAAGGTGTCAACGCGGGTGAACGTTCCTTTCCCTAGTCAACTGACGACCGAACTCTTACACACACACACACACACACACACACACACATACACACGTTTGTGCCACACATACAAACACACACACAATTCTTAAATAGCTAAGTTTTAAATGTCTATGTTTTTCTTTTTTCTTTTCAACTGTGTATACATTGAGGGATTGAGGAATTGGAGAGCCGAGTTCGACTTCTACTCGAATCCATTACATTCACTTACGTGCTAATACCCTTGGGAAAGGCATGAATCCAACTCTTCTGGCCTGAAGAGGCACGGTGGAGTAATGGATAGCGGTTCGGATTGAGGAATCAGAGAGCCGAGTTCGAATTCCAGTCGAGTTCATTACATTCACTTATATGCTAATACCCTTGGGAAAGGCATGAATCCAACTCTTCTGGCCTGAAGAGGCACGGTGGAGTAATGTATTGCGGCTCGGATTGAGGAATCGGAGAGCTGAGTTCGAATTCCAGTCGAGTTCATAACATTCACTTACGTGCTAATACCCTTGGGAAAGGCATGAATCCAACTCTTCTGGCCTGAAGAGGCACTGTAGAGTAATAGATTGCGGCTCCGATTGAGGAATAGGAGAGCCGAGTTCGAATTCCAGTCGAGTTCATTACATTCACTTACGTGCTAATACCCTTGGGAAAGGTATGAATCCTTTTATTCTCCCTCCAGCTATGGGTAAATAACTGGACAGACTGGGTTCTATAGCCTTGGATATAACTGGCCAGTAGAAAATGGCCAAAAACTACATGAAAACTGCCGTAGAAGCATGAAAAAATCGATTATTTCTACTATCGATGGGAGTTGGGAAATGCAAAGTCGGTCTTGGCCTTTCCCGCTAACTTGGAGCATGTGCATGTAAATTTTGGTGCAAATCTGTCGAAAATTGCGGCTGTGCATTCGTTACACACACACACACACACACACATCTTACCTTTTATCGATAGAGATCCGTCTTTGGACTTTGTTACGAATCTCTAGATGTAAAGCAGGAACACCGGAACAGATACGGCAACAGTGCTCAATGCACATAAACGTAATAGATTTCTAAATGCGAAAGATGGGCTATGACGAGCATATATTTCTGGACCGACACAGTAAACTAAATTTTCTTGAAGTAGATGCCGCTATTGATTCGATATAGTCGCATCACTTCATGTCAAGAAGGCGTAGTGTGTTGCTCTCCTGGTGTTTAGCGTCAGCCATGCTGATGGCAGGCAGAAAAAGGTTATCTGTGGTGGTTAAATGAAAGCAGTTTTGTTGGGGAGGGCGTTAAAATTTACAAGCCATTTCTTGTCGATATTTAACAGTCCCCACCCCACGCGGGATGTATGTGGCAAAAGGCCGGGTTTACCGTGGGTTCTCCGAGCCCGTAGGCTCGGCCCAAAAATATTCCCTTAGAACCAGCGTAAGCGGGTTCAGGATTTTTCTACCTCCCCGGAAGCTTTCGGCAAAGTTTCGTCCGGGTTCCTCTCTGCCAAAGCAGAGTGTTCGACAGAAGTCGCACACTGTCAGAGACTGCGTGTCGACTGCCGTGACAAAGATAAGCACTGATTAGAGGTCCTTTTCAAGAGCAACTGCCAGGTGTGCATTGTTTGTTTAAAATCCATCTTTTATAACTTTTTTTTTTTTGCCTGGACTCATATGAGTCCGTCAAATATTGTTTGCGGAACAAATGAAATGTACTGGGCAACTAAGCTTGTGATTCCCGCAACAATGTGTTTTTTTTTTTCTTTGGTGTTATACAACCATTCAAGTTGTGTGTGTGTTTTTTTGTTTTTGTTTTTTTTTTTTGTTTTTTTTTGTTTTTTGTTTTTTTGTTTATTTTTCGTAATACCCTGCTTACTATAACGACTAAAATTTCACTGTTTAGTCTACATTCGTTACTTACTTCACTGGCTGTTAATTTTGGATGCCCTACCGAGATTCTCACGACCTTTCTTTCATCTTTCTTATGATTTTCCGTTTTTCCTTCAATTTAAAACACTTCCAGTAGTAGCAAGTGTCTGCTGGAATGGTCTGAAGACCGTTCCTGGAAATCCCGGCTACCTAGCTACCTCCCGTTGAGTATATCTTCCTGTTCAAATACATAAAATTCTTTGTTTCAACAGAAGTTTTACCTATGATTTTAATGTAAAAAAAGCAAGATAATGTTCAATTACAATGACTTGTCAATGCACAAGTCACTCGTAGGAATAAGATAGAGCAATCTTTTTGGTTTGAAAGAAAGAAAGAAAGATTGGAAAAAGAAAGAAAGATTGGAAAAAGAAAAAGATTGGAAAAAGAATGAAAGAGAAACAGATTGGAAAAAAGAAGGAAAGTGTTGTGACCAAGTAAATGGTTAAAGAAATAACAAGTGATGCAGATTTATCATATATTAAACAGTAAGTACACCAGAAGAGTATTACATGACTAGTGAGTGTGTTTCGGTTGACCCAGCGCTCACGCTATTCACTGTTCCCAAAGGCCTTCTCTCCTACTAATCTTATAGTAGGCGGAAGAGTCCAACATAGACGCTTTAGAGGGAGGATACCAAAACAGAAAGAATGAAAGATTGGAAAGAAAGAAGGAAAGAAAGATAAAGAAGAAAGATTAGAAAAAGAAAGAAAGATTGGAAAAAGAATGAAAGAGAAACAGATTGGAAAAAAAGAAAGTGTTGTGACCAAATAAATGGTTAAAGAAGTAACCATATTTATTACAAAGTTTTGGCCGTTGTACGCTCCGGCCTTCTTCAGGCGGTTGGAATATCGAACTGAACCCTTTATTTCGCTCACTGGGGTAGACTGTTCTAGTTCAACTTGCAATTTTTTAACAGGAGATAAGTGACAACTGACATCTATTAAAACATGGCAGATGGAACTAGAACATTCTATACTAGTGAGCGAAATATAAAGGGTTCAGTTCGATATTCCAACCACCTGAAGAAGGCTGGAGCGTACAACGGCCGAAACGTTGTAATAAATATGGAGACAAAGATGAGGGCAATAGTCCGAATAATGTAAATAGTATATATATATATATATATATATATATATATATATATATATATCAGTGTGTGTGTGTGTGTCCGTCTGTCTGTGTGTGCTACCATATAAAAAGATATTTGTAGGTATATAGGTAATGGAAGAATTTGTGTTTCTATCAATATATACCGTTGTTTTCATCTGTCTCTAATTGTGTTCAATGTCTATCTATCTCACTCTGATCATATCAATATACCTATCTTAATCTGTTCATATGTATCTATGTGGCTCTCTATCAATCTATCTCAATACGTTAATATCTATCTGTATATGTATATCTGGTCATATCCATATACCTATCTATCTATCTATCTATCTATCTATCTATCTATCTATCTATCACAGTCTGTTCATGTCTATCGATTTATCTTTCTATCTATCGCAATCTATTCATATCTATCAATCTATCTCAGTTCATATCTATCTATCTATCTATCTATCTATCTATCTATGTCAGTCTGTCATATCTATCTATTTGTCTATCTATACCTGTCAGTTCATATCAATCTTCATATGTATGTATGTATGTATGTATGTATGTAAATATCTATTAATTTTAATCTGACTGCCTAGCTTCCTGAATGAAACATAAGCGTCCATGTACAAATGCCATTGTGTTCGAAAACAATGAAAACACATTCACAAATTGGATGACTCAAACAACAATTTTTTCAGAATTTTCTCTCGAACAATTTGATAAATGATCTTGGTGAACCCAACAACAAAAAGATAAACATTCCTTTTAACCCTCACATAATCACTTCAATGCAACTTCTTACATCTTGACGTCAGTAGAGAATTGTTCTATTGACGTCAATAGGTATATATTCGTATTCATTGCTTCACACCTCTCTAAATGCTTCTGATATCTATCTATCTATCTATCTATCTATCTATCTATCAATCTATCTATCTATCTATCTATCTAATTCTCTTCATATCTATGTCAGTCTGTTTATATCTATCTGTTTGTCACACTGTTCATATCTATATATCTATGTACCTATGTATATATGTATGTATGTATGTATCTGTCTATCTATCTTTGCGTCTATCTCAATCTGTTCATATCTATCTGTCTGTCTATCTGTCTATCTCAATCTGTTCATATGTATTTATGAATGTATGTATGTATCTAACCATCTCAGTCTGTCCATTATCTATCTATCTATCTATCTATCTATCTATCTATGTCATTCTTTTCATATCTATCTCAGTCTGTTCATATCTATCTGTTTATATCACTGTTCATATCTATATATCTATGTATATATGTATGTATCTGTCTATCTATCGTTGCATCTATCGCAACCTGTTCATATCTATCTGTCTATCTCAATCTGTTCATATCTATCTATCTATCTATCTATCTATCTATCTCAGTCTGTTCATTATCTGCCTATCTCTCTCTGTCTCTATCTATCTATCTATCTCAGCCTGTTCATATCTATCTATCTATCTATCTATCTATCTCAGTCGGTCCATTATCTATCTATCTATCTATCTATCTATCTATCTATCTATCTATCTATCTCAGTCGGTCCATTATCTATCTATCTATCTATCTATCTATCTATCTATCTATCTCAGTCTGTTCATATCTATCTGTTTATATCACTGTTCATATCTATATATCTATGTATCTATGTATATATGTATGTATCTGTCTATCTATCGTTGCATCTATCGCAACCTGTTCATATCTATCTATCTATCTATCTATCTATCTATCTATCTATCTATCTATCTACCTCAGTCGGTCCATTATCTATCTATCTATCTATCTATCTATCTATCTATCTATCTATCTATCTATCTATTCATCTATCTCAATCTGTTCATATGTATGTATGTTCATGAATTGGATGATTCAAACAACAATTTTTTGACATTTTTCTCTCGAACAATTTGATAAATAATCTTGGTAAACCCAACAACAAAAAGATTATCATTTATTTTAACCCTCACATAATCACTTCAATACAACATCTTACATCTTGACGTCAGTAAAGAATTGTTCTATTGACGTCAATAGGTATATATGGTTCTGATTTATTTATATATATATATATATATATATATGTGTGTGTGTGTGTGTGTGTGTGTGTGTGTGTATCAGTAACCAAATGATATAGGTAGATGTACGAGCTAGCGATCGTATACAATTATATATAAATACTCTATAGTTTTATAAAAAACAGTGCTCAATGTTAAATAACAGAGCTCTTTAATATATATTAAGAAATATACATAATACCTGAGTAGTCAAGGCACCAGGGAAGCAAGCTCATCAGAATTGATGCCATGAAAATATTTGTAGAAAATATCTTTTCTACAAGTACTTTCATATTTTCAAATATTTAAGGGAAGCCCTGTCACGTCGGTGAGAAAGTGATTAACGTCGAGATGCCAGGTCAAGATCGACCACATTGCAGACCCTTCTTTGGATGTTGTCAAGTATCTCGAGATATAGTCTGGTTTGGTTTGTTTTGTTTTACGGCATATTAACCTCAATGCCGACAATTTTTATTGCTGGTTTTTCTTTTTTTTTTAAACTAATTCATGTCATATTTTCCCTTCAAAAAAGCTATCGCTGGTAATATTTTTTTCCAAAAATGTCTTGCTGGCAATAATATATTCCTGGTAGTAATTTTTTACAAAGTATTTCCGTTATAAAAACCTATTTTTACGTTTTCATAGTAAGTATTGTCGGCAACGTTTTTCTTTTTTTCTGTAAAAATTTATTTCTGGTAATATTTTTCTTTAAAAATCTATTGCAGGTAATATTTTGTTTGTAATAATTTTCCTATAAAAATGTATTGCTGGCAATAAATTTTGCTTCGCAAAAGCATTACCAGTAGTAATTTTTCCTACAAAAATGTATTGCTGGTAATAATTTTTCCTTCAAAATTGTATCTCAGATAATAATTTTTCCTTCAAAACTATATTTTGGGCAATAACTTAAAAATGTATTGCGGGTAATAATTTTTTTCTCAACAATGTATTGCTGATAATAATTTTTCCATCAAGAAATGTATTACTTGTATTAATACCTATTTTTATGCCTTCACGTCGTTTTGACCCATATTTGGGGGTTCAACTATTTTCCCATGGCCGGGACCCTAACAGGTGCTACCACCTCGGGTCAGGATGGACCTGGGAACACCAGCAATTAAGATGTCGTTCCGCTCTCCTCAAAACCTCCTGATCAGAGGCTTTGCTGTTGGACGTAATTTATCGTCTTACCAAGGACGCGGGTGTAATTTATCGTCTTACCCTGAACGCGGATGTAGTTTATCGTCTTACCAAGGACGCGGGTGTAGTTTATCGGCTTACCTAAGAGGCTCGAGATATATAGGAGAAGCACCAGACCAAATATACCTGAACGAATAGTAGATTTATAAATGTGCAAGATGGATTCTAACGAGAAATGATTTTCTGGCAAGACACAGTGAACCAACTTTCCTAGCAGTAGATACAGCTATTGATTTAATACAATCATTCCACTTTATATCAGTAGAGCCAAAGAAGGTGTACAATGTTGCTCTCCTGGAGTCTAGCATTAGCCACTGATTGCAGGTAGAAAAGTTTCTATGTGGTGACTAAATGAAAAGCGCTTTTGTTTCGGAGGTGTTAAAATTTACAAGCCAGTCCTTGCCCCAGTTAACCACTAATTGGAGGTTCTTTTCGAGAGCAGTTGCGAGTTTTAAATTGCCGGATCTTTCTGATTTGCTCCGAAGACAATGATAGTGTCATCTGCATAAATAGATAGTTGGGAAGGGATGAGATTGGGGAGGTCATTGATGAGGATCAGAAACAGTGTAGGTTCAAGGATAGCGCCCTGGGGGTGCCCCGCGTTTGTATGAAATGATCTGGAAGCCTGTCCGTTCAACACGAACTTCATTACACAGTTTATTAGGAATGACTGAATTAAACCAAAATTTCGTTCAGAGACACCGTAATCCTTGGGTTTATGGAGAAGGCCAACATGTCAAATCCTGTCGAACGCCTTTGAGATATCTAGATGCACAACGAGAGCTTCGCCATTCTTATCTAAAGATTTTGATTTGATTTAATGTTTAACATCTTATCAACTCAATGTGTCATTTAATGCCAAAATTTAATTTTCTTGGGAGCTTTGAAATAATCAAAATATAATACATGTTATTCTGCTTTCACAATTGAATACATGGTAGATAATACTCAGACTTTGTGCATAGACATATTTGTGTGGACATTAGAGGCAGTAATATGAGTGTTTTATGTTATGTTGAAGTAATATTTTGGTATACAGTTTGATTACTTTAAGAAATTTTAGGATATTATATGGATTAATGTCAGGAGAGAGTTCTTTCGTGTTTATTTAAGTATAATTTTATTATAAATAGGTATGTTGACATTACATTCATTTCACGATTTGTTAGGAACGAGTGAATTAAGCCAAATGTTTATCCATAGACAGCATAGTCCTTGAGCTTGGAGAGAAGGCCAGCATGTCAAAACCTGTCACAACCCGGTTTATCATTTAGGCTATTATAGACACCAGCCTAGGGCTGGATAAGTTTTGAGGCTATTATAAGTTCCTGCCAAAAGCCGGATCATCCTTTAGGCTATTATTGGCTGCAGCCTAGGACCGGATTATCTTTTAGGCTATTATTGGCTGCAGACTAGGGACGGATTATCCTTTAGGCTATTATTGGCTGCAGACTAGGGACGGATTATCCTTTAGCCTATTATTGGCTGCATTCCAGGTCTGTATTATCCTTTAGGCTATTATAGGCTGCAACCTAGTGCCGGTTCATCCTTTAGGCTATTATTGGCTGCAGCCTAGGACCAGTTTATTCTTTAGGCTATTGTAGGCTCCAGCCTAGGACCGGATTATCATTTAGGCTATTATAGGCTGCATCCTAGGGCTGGATTATCTTTTAGGCTATTATTGGCTGCAGCCTAGGGCCGGTTTATTCTTTAGGCTATTGTAGGCTCCAGCCTAGGGCCGAATTATTATTTAGGCTATTATTGGCTGCCGACTATGGCCGGATTTTCCTTTAGGCTATTGTAGGCCTAGGACCAGATTATCCTTCAGGATATTATAGGCTGCAACCTAGGGCTGGATTATCATTTAGCCTATTTTAGTCTCCAGTCTAGGGCCCCTTAAGCAATGTTTGTAATTTTGTAGATGTCATAACTTCTAAATAGATTCATAAACTGAAAAGATATAAATATGACAAAGTCATAATTATTTTACTTTGCAAAGCAAGGACATTAATGACACCAGGTATGGCATCTCTATAAAAGTCTTCATCTGACAAGGTTATTTAAGAACATATCTCGATTTTCTGTCTATATATCTGAGATGAGGTATTGCAATTATTTACACTATTTGCATTGATCTGATGGTTGTCCTCGTCTTCGTTGCAATAATCAAGATGTTTCGGCTGTTGTAGTCCATAGCCTTCTTTTGAATTTCGAACTGAAACCTTTATGGCCCAGTGGATAAAAGCGTTGGTTAAATCCAGTGAGTTCAATACCTGGCTACAGCAGAGGTGAACAAAAATTTGGGGAATTGAGTTAAAGGGAAATAACTGATACTGAGACATCTGGAAGCGGCATGGCACGTGGAACTAGTGGACGAAATAAAGGGTTCGGTTCGAAATTCCTGTCACCTGAAGAAGGCCGGGACGTACAATGGTCGAAACTTCGTGAATATGGCAACGAAGATGAGGACAACTGTTGTAATAGAATGTTTCACTCTCCCTATTATCTTTGGTGGACTGACTATGTCAGTAATATATGTATTGTACACAGGACATACCAGTGTCTGTCTGACTGGCTTCAGGAAGTTATAGTCGATTCCCTGTCTTTCAGTAGTGTATTCTCTTTTACAATAAACCTCTCTTTCTTCCATCTATGCTTGTCTTGCTGTTCCTGCCACTCAAGTGCCATCTTTGTCTGTTTGTAACCTTTTTAAGGATACAACACTATCTATCTCAGTCTTTCCATTATCTCTCTCTCTTTCTCTCTCTATCTATCTATCAGTTGAAATGAAATATTCAACACTCCCTATTACCTATTGTGGACTGACTATATAAGTAATATATGTAGTATGCACAGGACATGCCAGAGTTTGTCTATCAGATTGTCTGTCTATCTCTCTCTGACTGGCATCGGAATGTGTCAGTGTCATGGTCCAGGTTAGGACCAAGGAAGAACTACATGAACCCAAGAGTAGAAATAACGAAGGTATATTACACGAAATAATAATACAAGATGTGGAAGGTGTTAGTATGACTGTCAGTCTGGTTTGGAGTGAACTACTATTGGCTCCACTCAATTCGGTATCTAGCCACCCCCCCACGAGGGTTGCATGTGGTACAAGGCCGAATTTAACGTGGGTTTTTCGAGCCCGTAGTCACGGCCAAAAAATGCCCGTAGAACCCGTATAAACGGGATAGGGTTGGTCAACCTCCCCGAATGAGACTCTGCCCTTCGGCGGAGCCTCGTCCGGGTTCCTCTCTGCTCAGAGGCAGAGAGTTCAACCGTCAAGCCGAAAAGCTCGGCTCGATTCTATATCTAGTCACCCCCGACGAGGTTTTCATGTGGCACAAGGCCGAGTTTAACGTGGGTTTCCTGAGCCCGTAGGCTCGGCCAAAACTGCCCGTAGAACCCGTATAAACGGGATCGGGTTGGTCAACCTCCCCCGAATGAGACTCTGCCCTTCGGCGGAGCCTCGTCTGGGTTCCTCTCTGCTCAGAGGCAGAGAGTTCAACCGTCAAGCCGAAAAGCTCGGCTCGATTCGATATCTAGTCACCCCCGACGAGGTTTTCATGTGGCACAAGGCCGAGTTTAACGTGGGTTTCCCGAGCCCGTAGGCTCGGCCAAAAACTGCCCGTAGAACCCGTATAAACGGGATCGGGTTGGTCAACCTCCCCGAATGAGACTCTGCCCTTCAGCGGAGCCTCGTCCGGGTTCCTCTCTGCTCAGAGGCAGAGAGTTCAACCGTCAATCCGAAAAGCTCGGCTCGATTCGATATCTAGTCACCCCGACGAGGTTTTCATGTGGCACAAGGCCGAGTTTAACGTGGGTTTCCCGAGCCCGTAGGCTCGGCCAAAAACTGCCCGTAGAACCCGTATAAACGGGATCTGGTTGGTCAACCTCCCCGAATGTGACTCTGCCCTTCGGCGGAGCCTCGTCCGGGTTCCTCTCTGCTCAGAGGCAGAGAGTTCAACCGTCAAGCCTAAAAGCTCGGCTCGATTCGATATCTAGTCACCCCACCACGAGGTTTTCATGTGGCACAAGGCCGAGTTTAACGTGGGTTTCCCGAGCCCGTAGGCTCGGCCAAAAAATGCCCGTAGAACCCGTATAAACGGGATCGGGTTGGACAATCTCCCCGAATGAGACTCTGCCCTTCGGCGGAGCCTCGTCCGGGTTCCTCTCTGCTATCATCACATTCTTGTCCGTATATTGCTTAATATATTATACAGTAATTGACAGCTTTGATAATGGCTTATGTAAGCCGAAAGCTTAGATTGGATTAAAAAATATGGATCAATATTGTGATTTTCTTTCTTCGTTTAATGATAATGTTATTAAGCTTATCAGACGTTATGAAAAGAATTTACATAAAATAAATAGACAACACTTGTCTATATTATTTAATGAAACATGTATGAATATATATATATATACATATATATATATATATATATATATATATATATATATATATGAGGAAAATTAGAAAAAATCCTGATTACAGGTGTTTGAATTATTATCCCTGTTTATTATTTAATCTTCTTAAACTGTGATTTTAATAACAACTGGCTTAAGTTGAGAGTTCCAAACTAAAACATTATGCCCATGACAGGAAATGAATCTCTATCTTTTTGTTTTCCACTAGGCAAAACTCTTTTTTTTTTACGAAAACGTAGCGCTACCATTTTAGCCACGGACACCAGACTGGCAGTAATTTTTCATCTAACATTATTTAGAAACATGAGGCGAAAACTTATTACCATAAGGCAAAATCTTTTCTTTCTTTCTGACTTTTACTCTCCCTATTTTTTATCTCATTCTCATTCTCTTAATCTTTCTTTTCTCTCTCTTCTTCCTCTTTCTCTCGGGCCTTCCTTTTCTCAATCTCTTCATCATTCCCTCTCTTCATCATTTCGCTTTGACCCTCACCCCTTCTTTATTGCTCTCTAATTCTACCTCCCCTTCCTCTAACTCCTTCTTTATCTCTTTCGCTTTCCCTTCCTCTTTCTGTCATTCCTTTCTCTTTATATTTCTCTTTAGTTCCCATTAGTTACTCACCCTTTCCTTTTTCTCTCTCTATCCCGCTCACTTTCTCTCTCTCTCATTATCAAATTTAACTGGAATCGGATAGATGACAATGCGTAGCAAAACACTTGGTCAAGATGCACAGGTATTTACACAATGATAGTCAATTCCGACAACACAAAACTAATTTAAAAATTGATAACGTAAATGAATTCAAGCGTATTGAGATACGTAAATTGCGATAGCCAAAAATACATTAAAAAAGCTGAGCAGACTATTGAAAAACAGTAGAAATTTTAATAGTAACAAAGAAAATAGTACTGAAGCGTTACGTGATATCTGTCCCCTTATATGGCAGTGAATGCTGGACAATATCCTAAAAGACAAGGAAGAGATTTGAATAAAGAGAAACAAAGAAAAGAGTGCAGAACGGCTATGTAACATCAATCCTCCTATATGGCAATGAATGCTGGACAATTTCCTCACAGATGAAGAGAAGACTTGAAGCAATAGAAACAAAGAAAAGAGTGCTGAACTGCTATGTAATATCAATCCTCCTATATGACAGTGAATGCTGGAAAATTTCCTCACAGATGAAGAGGAGACTTGAAGCAAGAGAAACAAAGAAAAGAGTGCTGAACTGCTATGTAATATCAATCATCCTATATGGCAGTGAATGCTGGACAATTTCCTCACACATAAAGAGGAGACTTGAAGCAAGAGAAACAAAGAAACGAGTGCTGAACTGCTATGTAATATCAATCCTCCTATATGACAGTGAATGCTGGACAATTTCCTCACAGATGAAGAAGAAACTTGAAGCAAGAGAAACAAAGAAAAGAGTGCTGAACTGCTATATAATATCAATCCTACTATATGGCAGTGAATGCTGGACAATTCCCTCACACATGAAGAGGAGACTTGAAGCAAGAGAAACAAAGAAAAGAGTACTGAACTGCAATGTAATATCAATCCCCCTATATGGAAGTGAATGCTGGACAATTTCTTCACAGATGAAGAGGAGACTTGAAGCAAGAGAAACAAAGAAAAGAATGCTGAACTGCTATGTAATATAAATCCTCCTTTATAGCAGTGAATGCTGGACAATTTCGTCACGGATGAAGAGGAGAATTGAAGCAAGAGAAACAAAGAAAAGAGAACTGAACTGCTATTTAATATCAATCCTCCTATATGGCAGTGAATGCTGGACAATTTCCTCACGGATGAAGAGGAGACTTAAAACAAGAGAAACAAAGAAAAGGGTGCTGAACTGCTATGTAATATCAATCCTCCTATATGGCAGTGAATGCTGGACAATTTCCTCACACATGAAGAGGAGACTTGAAGCAAGAGAAACAAAGAAAAGAGTGCTGAACTGCTATGTAATATAAATCCTCCTTTATGGCAGTGAATGCTGGACAATTTCGTCACGAATGAAGAGGAGATTTGAAGCAAGAGAAACAAAGAAAAGAATGCTGAACTGCTATGTAATATAAATCCTCCTTTATGGCAGTGAATGCTGGACAATTTCGTCACGGATGAAGAGGAGACTTGAAGCAAGAGAAACAAAGAAAAGGGTGCTGAACTGCTATGTAATATCAATCATCCTATATTGCAGTGATTGCTGGACAATTTCCTCACAGATGAAGAGGAGACTTGAAGCAAGAGAAACAAAGAAAAGAGTGCTGAACTGCTATGTAATATCAATCCTCCTATATGGCAGTGAATGCTGGACAATTTCCTCACGGATGAAGAGGAGACTTGAAGCAAGAGAAACAAAGAAAAGAGTGCTGAACTGCTATGTAATATCAATCCAACGATATGGCAGTGAATGCTGGATAATTTCCTCACTGATGAAGAGGAGACTTTAAGCAAGAGAAACAAAGAAAAGAGTGCTGAACTCCTATGTAATATCAATCCTCCCATATGGCAGTGAATGCTGGACAATTTCCTCACGGATGAAGAGGAGACTTGAAGCAAGAGAAACAAAGATAAGAGTGCTGAACTGCTATGTAATATCAATCCTCCTATATGGCAGTGAATGCTGGACTATTTCCTCACAGATGAAGAGGAGACTTGAAAGAGTGCTGAAAGAGAAACAAATATGGCAAATGCTGGACAATTTCCTCTCACAGATGAAGAGGAGAACAAGAGAAACAAAGAAAAGAGTGCTGAACATCAATCATCCTCCTATATGGCAGTGAATGCTGGACAATTTCCTCACAGATGAAGAGGAGACATGAAGCAAGAGAAACAAAGAAAAAGTGCTGAACTGCTATGTAATATCAATCCTCCTATATGGCAGTGAATGCTGGACAATTTCCTCAGAGATGAAGAGGAGACTTGAAGGAAGAGAAACAAAGAAAAGAGTGCTGAACTGCTATGTAATATCAATCCTCCTATATGGCAGTGAATGCTGGATAATTTCCTCAAGATGAAGAGGAGACTTGAAGGAAGAGAAACAAAGAAAAGAGTGCTGAACTGCTATGTAATATCAATCCTCCTATATGGCAGTGAATGCTGGACAATTTCCTCACAGATGAAGAGGAGACTTGAAGCAAGAGAAACAAAGAAAAGAGTGCTGAACTGCTATGTAATATCAATCCTCCTATATGGCAGTGAATGCTGGACAATTTCCTCAAGGATGAAGAGGAGACTTGAAGCAAGAGAAACAAAGAAAAGAGTGCTGAACTGCTATGTAATATCAATCCTCCTATATGGCAGTGAATGCTGGACAATTTCCTCACAGATGAATAGGAGACTTGAAACAAGAGAAACAAAGAAAAGAATGCTGAACTGCTATGTAATATCAATCCTCCTATATGGCAGTGAATGCTGGACAATTTCCTCACAGATGAAGAGGAGACTTGAAGCAAGAGAAACAAAGAAAAGAGTGCTGAACTGCTATGTAATATCAATCCTCCTATATGGCAGTGAATGCTGGACTATTTCCTCACAGATGAAGAGGAGACTTGAAACAAGAGAAACAAAGAAAAGAGTGCTGAACAGCTATGTAACATCAATCATCCTACATGGCAGTGAATGCTGGACAATTTCCTTACAGATAAAGAGGAGACATGAAGGAAGAGAAACAAAGAAAAAGTGCTGAACTGCTATGTAATATCAATCATCCTATATGGCAGTGAATTCTGGACAATTTCGTCACGGATGAAGAGGAGACTTGAAGCAAGAGAAACAAAGAAAAGAGTGCTGAACTGCTATGTAATATCAATCCTCCTATATGGCAGTGAATGCTGGACAATTTCCTCACAGATGAAGAGGAGACTTGAAGCAAGAGAAACAAAGAAAAGAGTGCTGAACTGCTATGTAATATCAATCCTCCTATATGGCAGTGAATGCTGGATAATTTCCTCAAGGATGAAGAGGAGACTTGAAGGAAGAGAAACAAAGAAAAGAGTGCTGAACTGCTATGTAATATCAATCCTCCTATATGGCAGTGAATGCTGGACAATTTCCTCGCAGATGAAGAGGAGACTTGAAGCAAGAGAAACAAAGAAAAGAGTGCTGAACTGCTATGTAATATCAATCCTCCTATATGGCAGTGAATGCTGGACATTTTCCTCGCAGATGAAGAGGAGACTTGAAGGAAGAGAAACAAAGAAAAGAGTGCTGAACTGCTATGTAATATCAATCCTCCTATATGGCAGTGAATGCTGGACAATTTCCTCACAGATGAAGAGGAGACTTGAAGCAAGAGAAACAAAGAAAAGAGTGCTGAACTGCTATGTAATATCAATCCTCCTATATGGCAGTGAATGCTGGACAATTTCCTCACAGATGAAGAGGAGACTTGAAGCAAGAGAAACAAAGAAAAGAGTGCTGAACTGCTATGTAATATCAATCCTCCTATATGGCAGTGAATGCTGGACAATTTCCTCACAGATGAAGAGGAGACTTGAAGCAAGAGAAACAAAGAAAAGAGTGCTGAACTGCTATGTAATATCAATCCTCCTATATGGCAGTGAATGCTGGACAATTTCCTCAAGGATGAAGAGGAGACTTGAAGGAAGAGAAACAAAGAAAAGAGTGCTGAACTGCTATGTAATATCAATCCTCCTATATGGCAGTGAATGATGGACAATTTCCTCAAGGATGAAGAGGAGACTTGAAGGAAGAGAAACAAAGAAAAGAGTGATGAACTGCTATGTAATATCAATCCTCCTATATGGCAGTGAATGCTGGACAATTTCCTCACAGATGAAGAGGAGACTTGAAGGAAGAGAAACAAAGAAAAGAGTGCTGAACTGCTATGTAATATCAATCCTCCTATATGGCAGTGAATGCTGGACAATTTCCTCACAGATGTAGAGGAGACTTGAAGGAAGAGAAACAAAGAAAGGAGTAATGAACTGCTATGTAATATCAATCCTCCTATATGGCAGTGAATGCTGGACAATTTCCTCACAGATGTAGAGGAGACTTGAAGGAAGAGAAACAAAGAAAAGAGTGCTGAACTGCTATGTAATATCAATCCTCCTATATGGCAGTGAATGCTGGACAATTTCCTCACAGATGTAGAGGAGACTTGAAGGAAGAGAAACAAAGAAAGGAGTAATGAACTGCTATGTAATATCAATCCTCCTATATGGCAGTGAATGCTGGACAATTTCCTCAAGGATGAAGAGGAGACTTGAAGGAAGAGAAACAAAGAAAAGAGTGATGAACTGCTATGTAATATCAATCCTCCTATATGGCAGTGAATGCTGGATAATTTCCTCAAGGATGAAGAGGAGACTTGAAGGAAGAGAAACAAAGAAAAGAGTGCTGAACTGCTATGTAATATCAATCCTCCTATATGGCAGTGAATGCTGGATAATTTCCTCAAGGATGAAGAGGAGACTTGAAGGAAGAGAAACAAAGAAAAGAGTGATGAACTGCTATGTAATATCAATCCTCCTATATGGCAGTGAATGCTGGACAATTTCCTCACAGATGAAGAGGAGACTTGAAGCAAGAGAAACAAAGAAAAGAGTGATGAACTGCTATGTAATATCAATCCTCCTA